TTGCGCAGCTGGCATGTGTGCACCAATGCAGGTTTACCATTCTTCCCTTGGCGCTTTTGTCGCGCCAGGAATCCGCATGCAGTGCATTCCTTGACTATTGTTCACGAGTTGGAGGCCCCAGGAGGCCCCTACATATTTTCTCTGGAGGAGCTTGTGGGTCACGGGGTGAGAGCAGGGCTTAGCATATTCTTGGAGGCTCATTTGCAGGTGCCAAGGTTCCCAGGCTCAGGGTTTAGGGAGGATGTCTGGGGTTCGGGTGCCTTCAGCCCTCTACCGTCCTTCTAGTCTTCCAGGGCTTCCAGCCTTCAGAAGCCTTCAGAAGCCTTCAGAGGGCTTCAGAGGGCTTCAGAAGGCTGGCTCCTTCCCGACGTTCCAGGTCTCCGGTCTCCGGCCTGAAGCTGGAAAGCTGGTAGCTTTCCAGCCTTTAACCCGCTGCCAACCCTCATCCTTCGTTTTTTCCAGGGTTTGCAGGGCGGAACTTCGTTCTACCTGTCTGCCCATCCCTAGGTTGGCTTCACCTTTTTCAACGAATTCATGTCGTGTTCGGATTTAAACAACCATTCTGCACGACCTCTGCCGCGGCTGGCCGGGTCCCAATACGTCAGCGTAGACAAAATTCAAAGCGCACTATGAAAAATCGTACGTATGCTCACAAGCACCTTCATGCAGGAATTGCTATGAACTCTCTGACCTTTCGAAACGTTTCCCCCGATGCTTCCCCCGATGTCGAAGGCTCAATACACATGATGTGGCCTGGAAGCTCACCTGGTCCAAAACACAAGTTTCCTCCAAGCAGTTTGCGTGCCAACGTCTGTAGCCAAAGGCCGCGCCCTGGACGTCTACAGCAGTTCCAGTGTTGGAAGAGGCAAGTCCTTGGTAAGCACTCGTGCTGAGCCAAGGCTCCTCGTGCCAAGGCCGCCTCGGCATCGAAGGGAGCGAGGCCAGCTCCACGTCTACTGAGTCTACTCCCACGCTTCCTGGCTCTGGCATCTCAGGCAGCTCAGGCAGCTCTGGTATCTCCCCCACGGAAATGGGAGTGGTCAAGAAGCGGTCGATGCGGTCGAAGCTGGGCTTCAAGTTCGCCACAGCCCGGTAGATGCCAGGCAGAGCTTGCACGGACCACTGCAATGTGGAGATCCAAGCCAATGTCGTGAATGCTGTTGCCTCAGATGCTTGATGCTGACACATGCAAATGTCGCAAGCGCAAGGTGCCTTGTGCCATCATTTTCTTGTTTTTCGCCACGTTGTTGGACTTATCTCAGCTGTTCTCACCCCCGCGTTCAAGTCTACGTATTGGCCCGGGTCTCCAGTGCGTCGTGAATCCGTGCCCACTCCCAAGAGTCCGGCAGAGTATGTATGGCGAGTATGACCGGAATTCCCACGTGCCAACTCCCACAGAATCCTGCAAAGCGCACCAAAGAATCCTCCAGACTGTCTCAAGAGTGCCCACGCATCCTGGTATCCCAACACCCGCCCAGTTTAGTTTTACGTTATCATCTTTAGCATGGAACATCTCATGTAGTCCGACATGCCCTTGACCTTTGGCGCAAGCTTTTGATGCTCGATCTCTCATAAACACTGAGCAACGCGAAGCTATTTGTTCCACAAGCGCGCTGTTCAGCAACAGTTTTCAGAGGATACACATCACGAAGCACAAACCATGCAGACGAGCAAGTTTGCAACTATAACGGCAACAATGGCTACTGTGTTAAAACGAGGAGCTAGTCTACACAAAGTTACTGGTAGCTCAGAAATACCTAAATACTGACAACTGCATCGAGCACGTAAAACTCTACATTGAAAGTGGAGTTCGGTGCTGATGATATAGGATGCTTGCAGGTGTGCCTTGGGGGAAGAAGCAAAAAATGCTTTGTTAAGCATTTGCTGATGCAAGGTTAAGGCGGTCGTGGGCGTGAACGTGGGAATGTGTACTAAACCCATCTCAGCATTGGATACTGTAGTAGCTTGTCCCGTGCACCCTTTGCGCGCGACCCCACCTTGAAACTTTGTCGAGAGGGCCAGTCAGTGGCGAAGCCAAGCGTAGCAAGGCGCAACTTCTTGTCATCTCCAGGTCCCACAATGAAAAGTCCTGGTCCCCCACCCCTTTTCGACACGACACATCAAGAGGGTCGGCCACCTACCCTCCGTTGCTTCCCTCCTCTTCCCGAATCCCCCCACACCCCTCCAACCCTACCTATCCTCCTCACCTCTACCCGGTTGTCCTTGCTTCCTCACCCCCCATTCTCTTCGGCAAACGCGACTCCCGGCCGAGGCGGGACGTGAGTCGTGAAGAGTATGTCAGTTCAGGCGGCAGCATCAAGCTTACGGCCGAGGACGATGGTGTACCAGGCAAAGATGCTGACTGGTACCATAACGCTCAAGACCGAGCCCACGAGCGTGCTGAAGGCCTGGAGGATGCGAACTCGAACGATTGCCTGTGAAATCTGAGCTCGCAAGAAAAAGGAGGCCAAGCGGCCAAGCCCGAACAAACAACAACCGCAAAGCAGTGCTGAAGTTGCTTGAAGCCACCTTCATCTCAGCGCTTCTTGCTGCGGAAAGACGCTCGTGCCAAACTGGCTCCCAAACCTGCAGCTTCACCGTCCGGATTCCCCGAACCATCTCGCTCATCAAACTTGCACGGTGATCACGACACTCTTGAACAACCTGCAGCGCACGCAAGTGTATATGTTGCAAAAGTATAACATGTCATGGCCAGTTTGGTCCCACCTTGGTCCAGGATTGCAGGCATCGGCCCAGAGCTCGCGAAGTGCCCGCTCCAACCACCACCATGGCTGTGCCAAGGAAAGCAGCTGATCCCACCTCCAGAGACAAGTCAGCTCTGCACCGAGCTGGTTTTTGATGCGGGCAATGACTAAGACTAAGACCCTTTGTAGTGCCCTCGAGCTTTCTTACAAAATGAACGTTCTTATTCAGAGCTACTATGAGGGTGCAAATGTCTGGGCTTGGCTGCATGCGGTTGCACGGTGGCACAACTGTGGCTAACACAACCCACCAACTGGTACAGGAAGTAGACGAGGAAGGGCAAGGAAAAGAAGGTCCAAGACCACTGCGACAGCGAAAAAAGCAGGGAAGACCACTTGCCGATCTTGTCCGCATCCGTGGCCATCAAATTGGACACGCGGCCGATGTCGAGCTCATGGTCCGGAATGCAAAGTGACTTTCGGAATATGGCATGCACGAGTACCGATCGCACGTTGTTCTGGACTCGCACAGATGCGAAGAAGCAGATTTCCATGCAGGTGACACGGATCAACATGGAAAGGCTCAAGGCGCCGACAAGGCAGAGCTGCACCGGGAGACTGACTGTGGTTGTGCCCTCACTGCTGTCCTGCACAGCATTCAGCCTCAGAGCTCTCAAGATTCTCAAGCGAAGTGGTGACCATTCAGTATGTCAGTATGCGGAAGCTCGCACACGCCTCTCAGCCTCTCCTTCTGGCGCGCAGCTCCGTGTTCACGTGCACTCGCAAACATGCTCTCTTCTCTCCGTCTGCCTTTCTTTTGGGGGTAGGACGTCAATCCCTTGCTCGGGGTGAGCGCTTACACACTCTTACTCATCTCTCCCCCTTCCGCTTCTGCTGCTGCGCACGAGTCTCCCCGCCGGGCAAGACAATGCGTTCCCTTCTCGGTCGCACGCCTGCATGCTCGAGCGGCGGTCGGCGTGAGACTTGAACGGTCTTGAACGGCCAGTGTGGCATGGCAAGAGCTCCTCATCCTTCCCGTCCCTCATTCCTTCCCTCTGTCATTCCTTCCCTCCAGCACGCTAAGAAGGGACACGTCGTGTTGCTTGGTTCAGCCCAGACGGGCTTGCCCCGCCTCCCGCGAGCATGGCGTGCCCGCGCTCTTTGTCCGAAACGAAAGGTGCATCATGAAAAGCCCTCGTGGCAAGACAAACCGAAGGAAAGACACCCCCAATTTGTGAACAGTAAGGCCATTGAGTCGGCCCTCCCTGATGGATCGGGAAAGAGGTGCGCTGCTTGACAACAGACACGCGTGGTGGAAATGGCTGGTACGGAACACGCAATGCATTCAACAAACATGGACGTCCCACTGCAGCGCTACTTCTTCAGTCGCTCCTGTCTCTCTCCCTCTTGCCTTTTCCCTCACTTCTTCGCTCAACTTGCAGTCCAGTCGCAGCACCCGGAGCATGAGCGGGTCGATCGTCATGAAGAAAAGGAAGGTCCAACCATGTAGCACCGAGTACAGGAAGACCTCTAGCTACGACGCCGATTCTGCCAGTAATTAGCACTAGGAGCTATGCTCGCGAAGACGGTCCAAATCATGCGGCAAAAAGGCTCGCCACTGGATTCCCCAGCACACTGACCGCAGGATTTGCGTGCTCTTGCCTCTCTTCGATTGCCACCAGCTCGCAACCCTCGCAAACAGCGACTCTGGATCATCCTTAGACGGACAATGCATGTTCTATAGCACCAACTGAAACCAAACTGCTACGCATCTGACTGCGACTGCGAGGGTCGACGCGCGGCAGTTTCGGCAAATCTTCCTGTGACAGGCGGGCCTTTCTATTGGCGGCACGAATGCTCGGAAAGACCCACCAGAAGGTGTACCTGCACAGCATCACACGGGTACCCATACAGGTAACACGGAAAAGAAAGGTGCCAGTTGATATCCCGCCTTGAAAGCCAGCCTGCTGCATCTTCTGGAGATGCCTGTGAACATCCTAGCAGCCCTGCGCGAGCCTCTGACAGCATCTTCCATGGCAGCCCGACCTACTGCAACCTTTCTTGGCCAGATGCTGCCAGTTCGATGGAAACACATCTCAGAAGTGACTCTGGCGACAAGACGACAGGCTGCATCTCAGGGAGATGTTGGGAGCCTTCATTGCTCGCAAACTCCGCCTTCGAGGATACACGGATGCAGGAAAACATGGTGAAACATATATTTGCCTTGTGCTTTCATGACTTCCATGACCCTGCCTCGGGGATATCGGAAATCCACCCCTCAGAGGGACAGCAGCTTGGGCTTGCTTGGGCGACTCCTGTGCTTCTGTGCTTCTGTGGTTCTGTGGGTTCTGTCGGCGCGCCTTTGCAATCTCAGAATGGGCGACGGCAGGGACAGGGACCTCAATTGTGCAGCTTCTGCGCCAGGTGCAATGCCAACCGTGTCGGTTGGGCGACTGCGGGGACTGCAGCAGCTGTGGCGGCTCCTGCGTAGAAAAAGACTCAAAGAGGAGAGAGGAAGAGAGAAGAGAGACTGGGGGGAAGCTGTGGCCTGGATGGACGGTCCGGCATTTGCCTCAAAATATCTCGAAAAATGCTGGCAGCGGACTCCACCCGGCAGGCACACCGTTGGCGCACGTTCTCAGTTAACTCTAATGACCTTCTTTCATGACCCCATGATACTCCACTCACTCAGCCCAAGGGTGCCTGGTTCGAGGCGCTACTCGTGCCTGCCATCTTCACTCTCCGGCACCTGAGACCAATATTGATCCAGACAGACCAGGGAGAAGCTCGACTCATTGCCTCGTGGCACCAGCTCGCACTAATGTGCGCGATCTGTGCAAAGAAGGGTGCTTTCGGAGCCGAATTCGCGCGGCATGTTCTTGGGGAGGTCGTTGTAGCGGGAATGCGTGCTTCAGGCGCTATGTGGAATGCTTCTGCCCGTCCGTGTGGTCAATAAGCATGTAGCAAATGAACTCTCGACCGCGCTTTTACACTGACAGAGTGAAGCGAGGGTCCACGACAGTCGAGTTAAACGTCGACGTAGTGGCCACTGCACCAGCAAGGCCCCCTCCAGGCTGGCTAGTAGGCTGGCCAGTGCGCCAGCCCTGAGCCGGGACGAGTTTGCTAATGCCAAGCCAGCAGCGGGGCGCGCCTCACATCCGACGGATCCTGTGTGTTCACCCATGTAGTCCTGCAGGTGGGGGATAAGCGTCTCCTGTCTAGTCAAGTCTCACGGATTGCAACCGGGCCATGTGGTCATTGATGTGGAACAGATCCACTGGAAGATCCCAGTATCTTCCGGCACACCTTAAATCCTCAGCCTGCGCGGAATGCCAAACTCAACTACATCTCTCAACTCTATTACAAGTGCACACATACACACATACATATGTATATAGATACGTACGTTTTTGCTCCATATACATATCCATATATACATATATCTATTTGTTTATCTATTTATTTATACTTAGTTATGTACTAATTCATGCATTAAACTACAAGAAAACATGTGCAGCTGTTGGCTGCTGCATGCCACTTCTCATTCACAAAGCCTGTGGGCAGTGGCGAAATCCGGCGCCCACTTCTCCATTGTAGAATACCTGGTAGGGCCATCTACTGAATCTAATGAGGCAGCGCACTTTTCAACCTACTAAAAGTGGTTTAGCTTGACACCGCCGCCTCAGAGGAGAAGTGCTGGAACCCGAAGTCCTGCGGCGAAGGTGCACTTGCCATTGGGACTCGTGGTGCCGTTGTTCAATCCTGAGGGGGGACGTGCGGGACCGGGTCCATGTGATGTGTGACCTCAGAAAAGTGGCACAGCCCACAGCATCAGATGTTCCCAGAGGTGGCCAGGCCAAGGTCAGGACTCTGAAGAACTTTCCGGAGAACCTTCAGCAATCTCAAACAGAAAGAAAGTCAGAAAGTCTAAGTATTCTAAGTTCTACGTCATGCTGTGGTCTGGTCCAAGCGTGGCACATTTGATCAAAATGTGCGGCGAAGGTGGCGTCCCCCGTTCGGGGCATGCCGAAGGTGTAGCCTTCCTTGATCGTCCAGCCGCGTTGTGCGAGATCAACCTGACACATTCTGGCACGTGGAGGTAAGAACCATGCACAATCCCAGCTTGTGCATTGTGCAGATTTGTGCAGTCCGGTTCTATACCGTGCCGGCGCAACCATGGCCAGGGTGCCTCGCAATCCGGCGACCGCTCCACGAATTTGATTGTTGCGCTACGCTTCTGGTCTCTTAGATGGGCACAGATAGCTCCTCCTAGAGAATGCCCTGTGACCTTAGCAACTCTCTCAATCGCCGTGCTTTCGGGGTATGATGAGGTAACTTGGGGCGCTGCAACCACCTCTTTGCCCGAACACGTTGCTTTCAGGGCAGTCTCGATGCAGCTTCGAAGGCTCTCCCACTCCTCGAAGCACAATGCATGGTGCAAAGTGCAAAGTTAAAAACCTGCGAGCTTGGCACAAATTGGACTCACGCTTTGAAAGTGTGTGAATGACCGGGGACCCTGCGGCAAGGAAACCCGTGTGGACCTCGTTGTCCAAAAGGAGAGAGCTTCAGACCGCATGCTCCCGCGTGCTGCTGAAGGTCGCTCTCTGTTAAATAGATTCCGTTAGACTAGTGTTAGACTCCTCACAATCTGTGCCGGGAGTATTGCGCTGCCGCCAGTCTTCCAGTCACTCAGATTCTTTGCAATTCGTAGATCCTTGGCTCAAGAAGCTGCGAAACAAAGGCCAAACTAGCTCGTGCGGACTGCCTGGATCATGGAAAGGTATGTCTTGGTGCCCTCGAAGCTGACGATGCAGTTTTCCTTTGCTTGGAATTCGCGGCTTCTGCTGTTTCGCCTCTTGTGCCACACATTTCGGCAGCGCCTCGAAGCGAGCCGCGAATGCTTGCGTGGACTCCCCTGGACAGACCTGGAAGGAGGGCAACTTGGCAAAGCTCCGGATTACGAGGTTGGCAGGGTGGACTGGCAGAGTTGATGACGGCTTCGGCGGGCTGTTTGGGCGCTGCTTTTGGCTCGTCCAAGGAGCATGTATGGGCTTGGAGACGGATGTGAGGCACTTCGTGCCACAAGTCCAAGCCTTCGATGCAGGCGGCACATGATCCGGGTCTCACAAAAGCCGAAGCCGAAGCCGAAGCCGAAGCCGAAGCCGAAGCCGAGGCCTGCAGCGAGGCCGCCGAACAGTACGCAGCTCCCGCGAGGTCGGCAAGCCTCCACATACAAAACGCTCCACCCGTACGGGAACGAACATAACGAACATAGCCGGGCCCAGCCGTGTCCGGTGCCTTATTGCCTGCTCCTGTGAGTAGTTGACGGGTGTGGGTGATCGAGTGGACTGGCAGCACACGTCACCATACGTAACTCCCAGGAGCTCGGGTGCAGTGCGCTTCTAAGCCCGGGGCCCAGTAGATGCCAAAGGCCGCAAAGCCGACCACCACCAGAAGAATGGCCGCTGCCGCGCCTCAGAGAGGTGCCCCAGATCGTGTGTGCTACACTGGGACGTCACAAGGAACTGCAGCACCATTTGGCACCGGCGAAATACCAATAAACAGCATATGGACGTAAAGAAAGTGGGAAGGCACCACCGCGTTCCACCCAGCCAGTCAAGCGCATTCCTCGTTTCCTTCTGAGGAGAAGAGGAGCAAACCCCGACGCTGTTGCTACGGGGAGTTTGCGTAGTGTTGTTTTTGTGTCCTGGCTGGGGGTGGGTGTCGCAAGAACAAGCACGGGAAAAGATTTCAATAATTTTCGAAGTGATCTGAAAGGCAGTCAGAGCCTGGCAGAACTTTGCAGGGGGCTGAGAAAGCGTGTTCTTATCCGATCGCTGTGGCAGCGGCAGCGGCACCCTCGGCCTCAGCGGACTCAAGATGACGCATGATAGCAGCAGGAGTTAAATGAGTGAAAACGCCAAAAATGTTCAAAGAGCAGTTCCTTTCCTAAGGTCCTAAAGAAGGGAATGGGAGCCGGGCTGATCAGCCAGCTCCTTCGGGGAGCCGGCCTGCAGAAGCATCGAAGCTACTCCTTAAGGCCTCGAAGTCTCCAGCCTGGAACTCACAGGCCTCGAACCCTTAGGCCCTATAGGCTCTACCACATTGACATAACTCCGCCTGGAACTCCTCCTGTGTAAAAAGGGAAGAAGTCTTCCATGTGGCCCAAAATGCAACATTACCCCTGCTTTCAGCAACTATTGGCGCAAGCGTAGCCTCGAACTCTTCCAAAGGACTATGATAAGCAGAAGCCCCAAGAAATTGCCGAGAGTTGAGGAGTCCAGTGGGCAATCGGAAATCATGGGCCAGTCGGGCCAGTTGCAAGTGCCTGGAACTCGCATCCTCTGTTTCCAGTTGCTGCGGTCCGTCCATGACGCCGGGCTCTGGGCTTGCCATTAGCCTGACGGAATCGAAATGAGGTTCCTGCTGCAGTCTGATGCGTTTGAGCTGAGGTTCCCATGCGCTACTCCTGCCGAACTGCTGCACGGCTGCACGACGTCCACTGAACAACATTTCTGGCATGTCAGGCAAAACTTCAACAGCGGAAAGAAGCACAGGGCAACGCAAAACAATCATGCGGACTCTTCTTCGGATTGCAGTCTATGACTCTAAGATCTACCAATGGGCAAGGCTCGAAGAGAATCAGAAAAGCTTCGGGCTACATATTGTCAGATAGCCTTGGCACATTTGCCTGCCCCTAAACTTCGCTCGGTTACCGAAGTTCTTGGAAAGAAATGATCAGCTGCTTGAGACTGATAGTGAGACACACGGACTCTTGTCAGAAGACCCGCGCAGTCGAGGTTAGGCTGGGACGACCTCGGAACAAGGTCCAGCTCACAGAATCTCACATTGACTTCAGGCACGGCCTCGCGAGGCCCGGAATGCAAAATTATGAGGCTCTGAGCAGTTGGCCAAACTTTGTTCCTCGTCATCATCCCCAAGAGTCTCGTCTAAACCTTCGTCGCTGGCCTTCATCCACAAGGCTCATTTCGAACAAGACACGGCCACGCGGCACTGGAAGCACTTGCCACACTTTGCCATTAGCCTCCTCGTACCGGCGAGTAGTCTCGATGAGGCCTTTTCTGGAGATCATGCCTTTGAACCTCGGACAGACCCAGCAATTGCCGGGGTCTTGGCCAAAGATGGAGGCGGGGAAAGACGAAGGCATTCCAATTCACCGTGTTGAAAGCGTGGTGAAGCGGGATGCGGGGTCAAGAGATGGCAAGCGGGGGATATAAGGGGAGCACTGGGAGCACTTGCTCCGGGTAAGGGAAAGATGGCAAAAGACATATGGGCTTAAAGGGCACTCCAAGGCCTGACTGGGAAGGAAAGGGGTGCACCACTCCACTTCAGGGATCCCCGACTTGCTTTCTGTTTGTTCAGCTTAATTAAAGCCCCACTAAGGTCAATATTCCTTGGGGATAACTGATTAACTGCGAGAACTACAGGAAGAGGTCAATCATGAAAAGGGTGCCCTTAGCCTGCCCTGCGCGCTGGGCTGCGTGCTCTCCTCGCTCGGAGATTACGCAGGCGGCTTTGGCACCCGCCTGACAAATGTAACCTCCTTTTGAACACAAGCTCTCACAAGCTCTCTCTCCCTTTTTCACCACATGCAGCTCCCACCTTCGCGAAGAGTGTGTAGAGCCGAGGCCCAGGCATGTCCTGACCGCGAAGGCGCATGCAAGCAAGAGCAGGGGGCGCGAAATTCCCCAAGTCGCCGAGTCGCCATTTTGAGTTTTGACGCGGGCTGTATTCACTGCATTGACCGAACAGCATGTCATTTTCACGACTTGCACCGAAGAAGGTCTGGGCGTTAGCAAAAAAACAGCTGGACATGGGCTCGGCAAGCTCGTGCAGCTCGTGGAATTCTCAGTCGCTTTTGCGCGTGCTTCCTTCAGAGTCTTAAGACACAAACAAACTTTTAGTCACTGCGCACGCACGGCATCACTAAGGGGCCTCTTAAGAAGCCGACATGTTCGTCAGGCAAACGAATTCCATATTGCATTCACGTGTTCACAATACTGGGCCTCAACAACATGGGGATGTGTGACTAGTGCGGCAGCATGGCTGTCGTTGAGGACAGCGCAACAAATACACAGTGACTTACACTTTATGTAGGTCCTCGAGGATGGTATATGGAGCCCGTTCGGTCAGGCGCTTGACTGGCAGAACGTTGCCCGTGAAACTCGATTCCCTGCAAGTGTGGAGGGTGACATTCAGGGCTCAATTTCTTGAAGAACTTGAACTGATACAGTCGCAACACCTCGCGACGGCGGCGGAAACCAGCTTGCCCATCTGCTCGCCACCCGCATCAGACACGGCCTTCTGCTCAACCGTGCTCAACCGTGCTCATGTCGGTGCCATGGCTTATGCACGCTCACCACGCGGAGGGACCGATGCGTACCTCCTTCAGGGCGGCTCCGCGATCGGAAGAATCGATGAAGCCAGAAGCCTGGTACAATGCGGGTGCTCGGCTTGAAAACACGCGCATGCAAGCGTCCTCTGTCAACGATCCCGACCTGGATTTACTAGAAAGCATGACTTGTTCGGGTGCATCTGGCTGGGGCAAACATATGGAAAGCACAGAAGTCGAGCATCAGTCTATTCCTACTTTGCTGGAACCACACTGTCACAGTGTGAGCCAGCTCGGGTTTATTGTTTTCCTGAAGATCCAGTTGCGTACGTCCGATCCAATGCAGCGTGTGCTGCCTCCCAGACCTCCATCGCTGCCTGCAGGCGCGCCCGCGTTGTGAAACCTGCTGTGGCGGCATGAGGCAACTGCGAGATACTGTTTGAGAGACTCCCGCGTGCCTATGCAATGACCGCCCTCCTTCAAGACTGGGAAGCAGTCCACCTGCCCCCCAAGCACTCGGCAGATTGTCACAGGAGAGGCGCGTTCTCGTCCACTCAATGGTCGCGCACCTTGTCCTGCTCTAGCGCAGCCTTGATTGCTCGGAAATCCACCTGGAAACGTGGCTCATCGTGGGTCATCGTGGGTCTACTTGTAGTACCTTGTAGTAATAACTTAAATTAGCAGTGCCATGAAGTACCCCATGTGCTCAGCTGGCCTCCGGAGCCAGCACTGCCTCCGATGGTAGATCATCGCAAAGCTCTAGGGCCACCGTGCGATCCAACAACCGGGGAGGCTCTGCCTCAATCTTTCTTGCATGCCGTCATATGCCGTCTCTGCTGCATCACAGATCAACATGCACAATGCACATGCTTTGCTCTGCCCCCGCTCTGATGATTTCTAGCTGACACACCTGTGCAAGCAGGTTCCCCAGACATAGAAGCCATTCAACAGGCCGTCTGTGGGCCACGTGCCAGATCATAGATGCGCAACTTGTGCCCCATCTTCCATTTCCGGAGCGAAGAGGTGGGATGTTCCTAAGAGCCTTAAAGCCTGGTCTCTTGGCCTACACCTGGCATGCTTTGGCGTATTGGGAAGCATCGCATGACAACGTGGTCTGTCCAAGTCCTGTCTGAGCAGCAGGCCGGCAAATACGCGATTGCTTTCCGCAAGATCTGCTCCTGCAGAAATCCCCCGCCCCAGGGGAAAAGATGTGTTCCTGTCACATCAGCATTGAGTGTGCTCTTTAGATGTGCCACGGCAAACTCAGTAGTTGAACATCGCATGCCTCATCGAAGCCCCTTTCATTAATAAGCTTGTTGAGAAGCAGTGCGATGGTCACCTGAAGGGGCAACGGCATGTCATGCACGCCCCTGCGCAACGTCTGAGGATGTCTGAGGGATTCTGAGGACCGAGCCGCCAGCATCAATGGCGGAATCAGCCCAAGGTCGTTGGCGGCTCCTCCATTGAGTAAAGCAATGTCTACGTCTCTGAGTGCCAATCCAATCTGGCCTGTGATGAACACAACGACCGCTACGGCCATCTGCTTGAAGCCTGCCAACATCGAGGCGCTTCCAACCATCGCGTAGACGCCGGACCTGACACGGCCAGTGAGCTGAAAAGGCACCTAAAGGGACCTATCAGACTTCTGCATAGGTCCGCACACTGCCATTCCAGGCTTGCCGTAGTCTCGAACCAGGGCCCCCATCATCCGACCGATCAGCCTTGGCTGCGGCCATTGCGCCTCGTCCTACTCTATACCGGTATGCCGACTGAGGCCTCTGCCCTCCGATGAGCATGGAGCCTGTGAAGTTTCCGGACGGCACGGGCACGCCTGTGTAGCAGTGTCGAGGGCATGAACACAGAAACAAGCCACATTGACAACTGGCAAGTGGGAGATGAGACCTGTCAGTCCAATGTTGAGGCTCGTGTAGGACACGAAGGCCAGTAGTTCGTTCCTGCACGCAAACAAGAGTCTAATTACTTGAGCAGCATCCTGCAATGCAGCTGATGTGTACCTGAAGTGGATCTCGTTGGCGTCATGCCTGACCACACCAGTCAGTGCTTCTGGAAACCATTCGTTTTGACATTAGAGGGATTTTGAATGCAATCTGAGTTTGGTGCCTGGAAAACAATCGCTTCACAGCTCCTTCGGAGGTGGTGAGCAACAGGGAGGCCACGGGGTTGTACTTTCCCTCCTCCAAACATGTTGCAGGTGAGAGCGGCAGGCATCTCTTTCTCTGTTGGGGGGGGCTGGATCTCCCCCCCCCCCCCCGCACTCCGCAAGGGCATGCACGATGGCTGCGCGTGAGTCCGGACCTCACTCTCTGGTATGTCCGCGCCTCGCAATCGTAGCGCACAAATTCGGCGGCATCTTGCGCCGTGTGCTTACAATTTGCCTCCAAGCATGGTGGGAAGCTTTGTTGGCAAGCGAGTGAGGAGAATGGCAAAGAATCGCAACTGTGGGAGACACTGATAAGGCCACCAATGAGTAGGTCCTCGGCAAGTAAGAAAAGTAACCGGCCAGAGTCTTGGGATTCAATAGATTGCACAAATATCTCGGGTCAAGATGCAATGCCACGAGGCCACCATACAGAACAGCATCGGCCATCTTGCTGTAGGGATTGTAGGCTGCAAGTCTGGACATGAGCTTCTGCCTCCGCACCCGCTTCTCTGCTCATTTTTTTTGTTTCTCTCTCTCTCTCTCTCTCTCTCTCTCTCTCTCTCTCTCTCATTTAACACAAGACAGGCTTGGAAGAGGCTAGAGGAGCTGAGCCGTTCTATTCGCCACAAGTTAGAGTAATTTATGGCGCAATTTCTGTTTCAAGAAAAACTGGGTAACTGGAGTGAAAGGCCCAAGCTTTGGTGCCTCCCAACTCCACCAATCATGGCACCTACACTCTTATGAACAACCCATTGGAGGCTTAGCACCAGAGAGGTTACAAGAATGATAACATTCCCGGATGTTCACTGGCAAAACAACTTCAATCTTGAGCATCCCGAGATTAAGCACGACGACCATGCACGAGGCCCGAAGCACCGCCGTTTTGCGGGCAAAGAAGGCTCAGCGTGATTACGCTCGGGAGCCACGGAGGCCAGCACACAGATTCTAAACTTTTCGAAACATCCCAGCTACGCCCCGCTCTCCGTTCAACATTTTGTCCTGCGGCCTGGACAACCCAGTCTTCAGTCTTCAAGGTCATTGTAGAGTAGAGATTATGGGCTTTAGAGATACGCTACTTGTGTCTAACGCTGGTATAAATCCTTTAGGAGATGCGCTCGTTCGATTAGAGACTTTGTAACAATGGCTTGTCTTCACTGTTGATCATTGAATTTCCTGCTCTCCTTATGAGCTTGCAGCGTAAGGTCTTGCTCTTGCACAAGTAAAGGCTTCTCCTTTTCTTACAACATTCCAACTCTTTCTGCCAGCTAACTCTTTCGTGCTTTATCTTTCTTGCCTGCTTCAGTCTCTTTTCGAACTCACACTCAAAAACAAGCGAGTGCACTTGCAGTAGTTAACCCAAACAGCTCAAGCATGTCGGGGCGAGCCGCAGGGCGGACCTATCAATTGCGTTTCTGAATTTTGGAACTCCGCAGTGCAAGGACTGCCTAGGTCGGAGCCTCACACTGACTCTGGAGTGCCAAGGCTCTTATAGTCTACGCTACGTAATCTATATATAGTGCAAGCACTGTTTAGGGAACAGGGGGAAAACGATCACACCCGTGAACACGAGCCACACGGTGCGTCGCAGCTTACCACGAAGTAAACGATGTAAACGGTGAATGCAGGCACTTCGAACTTCCAAAACCCATGCTTTCTTTGTTGCTTTAGGAGAGTACAGTCAGCACAGCGTGGCGCCGGCCAAAAAAAGAAGTTGCGAGATGCTGCGCGCCTCGCACTGGCTACAGCAAGGCAGGCGCGCGTGTGGAAGGCGCTGAAAGGTCCAATGAGAACCGCCTCAGAGGCAGCTGTCCAAAAGAAGTCATACGCTTTTTTGGTGCAGCGGTGCGCAACATGAAATCATCCAGCCAAGAGCAAATCTTGGGGGCCGTGGTTTTTACATGTCACACGCTGTGCTCTTTGGCACTACGAGTCATAGGAGCAGATCCGGTTCCTCTTCTGGTCTATCTCCATTGATCTCCTCTGAAATCTGCTCTGACATCTGTGAATCCTTGTGGCTGTGATTGATGGGCATATCTGATATGGCATTCTGATGGCAGAACGCCCACTCGGGGCAGATGCTCTCGAAGCTGCTCAGGAAGCCTTGGAAGCAAAATGGGTGGAGCAGGGCGACTTCACAGCTTACCCTGACTGAGGAGAGATGTGAGGGAGAGAGAGAGAGAGGGAGGAGAGAGAGAGAGAGAGAGAGGGAGGGAGAGAGAGAAAGAGAGAGAGAAGGGGAGAACGAGATCCCTCATGTCAATGATTCTGCCAGTTGTTGCAAGTCGGCTTGAGACTCTTTCTCTCTTGGGCCGTCGGCAAAACTCACTCTCGAGCAGGCGCCAGTGTCCGTCGATGACGAAGTTCTGTTGCAGAAGGCTGCCGAGACCTGGCAATACGCGATAAATAATTAAATAAAAAAATATATATGTATATATATGTATATATATATACATATGCTTATTTATGGAGCATGTCGGCAACAGGTCCTGGCACCTGCATCAACCTCCCAGAGCAGCGTGTCTCCCTGCCCCAGATGAGGCTTCAAGGCAGGCTCTATGACTACATTGCACCCTGCAATCAACGAACTTTGATGGCCATGCCTTTTGGATGGCGCCACAATCACCTCAGGAAGGCAAGCCAAGCTACCTTTCCCACGAACGAGTCGTCGCAAAGAGAGACGTGGATCGTTTCACAGGATACAGCCACGAGGCTTAATGCACACATGTGAACGATGCTGATTGCCTTGGCAGGGCAAGGAAGGCAACGTTTGATTGTCAAAAGGCTCCACACAAACTCCAAAACAATACATGTCTGCAGCACGAATGTACCTATATGTGTGCGCAAACCGCGAGAGCCATTTCTTTTGTGTTATATGTATATATGTGCTCATGCATAGAAGCGGGGGGCGAGGGAACTGTGGAATTGCACGGCGCGTACATGTGGTTCAGATGCAAATGCGGACGGGACTCCAAAGAAGCATGCGCTGCACCTAGATAATGCACACCAACACCCCCGCTTCCAAAAGCAATCTTTCCCTGTTTTGGAGACAGGGCACGGTGTCCCGGGCCCGATAACTCCGAAACAAGCCCAGTGCCGCCCGAACAGCTAAGCGGCTAAGCACGCTGAGCCTTCGATTTCTGTAAGCTTGTTTGCTGCCATGCTGTCTATCCTTGAAACACAGCACTCATGTAAACGTGAGGCACTTCAAAAAAAAGGGAATCGGTGGGGCCCGTGTGCTCCAAAAAAAGACTTCTGGTTTCCTAGTCCAATATGTTTTAATGTCTGCAAAAGACGAAGCTAAATTTGCTTGTACATCAGTCTCAAGGTCAGCTGCGCTTCTGTGCACCAGCTGCTGCACCAGGAGTGGGCCACTGAAGGACTCCAGAGCGCCACCATCGTTAGCAAGAAGCGCCTGACTGCATTCAATTTACTTGTTCGTTCTAGCCTATGCACAGCGTCTTTTTGATGCATCTCGGGCCGGGGTGCACAAATGAAGCTCCAGCCTCCACGTCACTCCACGCAATCTCATGTCGCGCTTCAAAGAGGCTTTGTGCCTCCTGTGCACAGGATCGCTTCCCTGCGTGCAAAAAACATTCAGAATTTGAATCTGCCGCTAGCGTCAGTCCTGTGACTCCCATGGGTTGAAGCTACCTCAGCCCGAAAAGCACAAGCAGTGGTACGCTAAGTCGCCAGTGCACAGTGAAAAAGGCAATAATGAGCCCGCGACTTAGCCCATCTTCTGAGGATCCCTGAGCAGTTCTCTCGCTATGCGAATGTGGCAAGCCCACGAAAAAGGGGGGGGGGGGTGGGCGGGGGGGCGACGTTGGACACCTATTCCGAGGAGAACTGTGCCGAGCACAAGGACATAAGTTGACATAAGCATTCTACAACTCAGCTGCCTTCGACAATTTCGGAACAGCCAACGGACCGCCCAGAGGCAGCAAACACTTAGTCTTCACACCGCAATCAGAAGCAGGTTTCATCTGGCGCTCACACTAAGCCACTTGTGTTTGTGGCCGCGCCAGGCAAAATTCATCAAACTTCTGCATGCTCTTATCGCAGTTCCATGTTAGCTTCGAAGGTGAGTGCCGAAAGCTTCGGCAGCACTCAGCTAATCAATCCGAGCCTGGTTAGATAGGGCTAAGCTTGTCTCGGCGTATCTTCGCTCGTCGATGCGCGTGCTCGCGTTTTCTTACTCGTCTTCGCCTGGTCGCTTGTCTTCGCCTGTCTTCACGTCTCCGTGCCGAGTTACGTACAACGGCGCCACCGACACAGTCGAAACATGTCGAAACGTTCGTCTGTATCTTCGTCGCAAGAAGCACTTCGTGCACATGCCAACATATGTGTCGGGACGCTATTTTGCTGCATTGTGCTGCTCGTAAGGGATCGCCAGGAAGCTTAGCCCAGAACACTGCTAAAGCTGTTAAAGCCTAGGCAACTGGAAAGCTCCAGGTCTCCAGGTTCATGGCTCCCGCATGTCCCAGGCCTTCAGGCAGCGCAGCGCTCGGGCGTCGTTCAATGCGCCAGGAAGTTGCCGCTGCAGGCGGTAGCACGCGGGGAGGCTACCTGTGACGAATGAAGCTAATAAGGCACGTGGCAGATATGGCATGCGGCACCGCAACGTGTCAACAGTGAACATGCTTTACAACTAACAGCATGTTTATCGGATTTATCGCTGACAGCAATCTTGAGCGGATCTTGGGGCCACGAAGAAAGCGCTGCTTGTCCCGCAAGATCCCTGACCGACGATTGTTCGTCGGCCGACAAGTGAAGAATCGAATTCGGGAGCTTCGATTGGCGCAACGGAGAGAGACTTTGGCGGAATGAACCCAGCGTCCCAACAACGAACCTGCATGTTGCATTGTGCACATTGGCATTGAAGCGAACTGCCTAAGGCATTACATGACGACCCCAAAAGGCTCTGGGACAAAAGGGGCGCTTCAAATCCTTTTTTGACTGGCCAGACACCAGACATTTAACAGAAATTGATTGGCTGTGCATTTTGCCTGTGACATTGTGTCTATTCTTCAGGCGGGCAACGATTCATAGTGGGTCCACGCTCCTAGCTTCACGTTTCAGATTCTGGGGCCTTCGCTGATAGAGGCCTTTCGGCCAAAACCCCCGGCAGCGGTTCCAACGGAAAAAACACGGTCATGTCATGGAATCACAAGAGCGCTCAGAGGTGCACGCACTGCTTTGCCGCAGGCTTCGTTGGCCTCCTGCCCCAGACACTTCCAAGCTCTCCCAAGTATGCATCCCTATGCCCACAGCGTCCTGCCATTCCGAGGAGCACAGATTTTGACTCTTCGCAATGGTCACGACAAGCCGCAGCATCAGCTTTGCGACAGCTTGCATGTCAGCGTCCAAGCTCGGCCCAAGTTCCTTTGGACAGAGTTGACAAGTGTTCTAAGTTCCAAAGGAGAGCTTGCCCATTGCAAGGACCGGGGAGGCAGCATCCAATCCGTCGTCCACATCGTCCACTGCATCCCCCAGAACTTGTCGGAAGCCCTCACAAAGACCACGGGCTAGAGCTCGTCTAAGCCAAACGAGCGCTGAGCACAAAGAGCGTACAGCAGCTCTAGTAGCTGGAGCTGCTGGCCAGCCTTGTAGTCAAAATCCCTGATCAAGAAACGGCCCAGAAAATCAGGAATTGCACGCAGAGCTTGCTGACAGTTCTGAATGCCTCGCCCAGCAGCCGCGCACGCCAGAGTGTGGCGTAACAAACGTCATACATCGGAAGCATGTTATGGAATGGTGCCTGAATATTGCAAACCTTGCAGGCAAGCTTCAGTACGCAGCCTCAAGCCTGCAAAGGAGGAAATTTTGAGCCATCAAGCATGGCGCAGAGATTTGCAGGGTTGTGTAGGGGCTGTTGGGGCCCGGACACATCGAGCCAAAGCACGTTCTGCGCAGTCTCCCCAAATTTCTCCCTCACGAGTCGCCAATCATCAAGTTCCTCATCAAGCGGTCGTCTCAACAGTTGCATGTGCAGTTATGTTCCGCTGTCTGCCAGTAATTGCATGTGCAGTTGGCAGTTGGCCTGTGTCATTCTGAGAAAGCCTCGCGCAGCCGCTCGCTGCAAGCCGCCACCAGAAACGATTTCTTCCAGAAGCGGGGCATGGCTCGAGATGCTCAAAACACAACGTCTGGAAAATGCGGCGTGAGACCAACAAGACGACCAACTGGGCGGCAACTGCACCCAAAACTGAACCCAACTGAAAAGGAAATGCTCTCAGATTGGCACTAGAAGGATGAAGAAGGGAACGTCTCGCCTGAATGTTGCGCTTTCACCAAGCACGAGCTTCCTGCTCACAAACACTAGCCAGGTCCGGCCAGCTCCATCCCTGTGGCTGCGGGTTCCACTCGTAGACCACGAAGGCCTGGCCGCGTGACCCATCAGAGGTTACCCCGCGCAGTCCATGTGCCCTGCAGTCCATGTGCCCTCTCCTGCCTTCGTGGAGGTGCCGCACATGTTCAGCAATGCTCTAGAGAGCAAAGCGCACACACAAGTTCCGGCAAATGCCCGGAAGGTCACCTTGCGCTAGAGTGGCTCAGACTCAATGGCAGATGTCTGGCACACACCTTTCTTTTTGTTGCCGCTGCATCCCCGATCAGCGCAAACAACGTAAACTGTGCGCTGGTTATACGTGACCTGGCTGCTTATCTGGCTCATGGTTTTTTGCTGCTTGGGGTCTTTGGAATTCTGGTGGCACTTGGCTCATACGAGTCTCTCCTTAAGTTGCCGTTAGTGATCATACTAGCAGTCAGAAAGACAAACAACGGTGCAGTAGGAGGATCTGTGCTCGCCTAACTTAGATCATGCTTTGTGGAGGAGACTGGGATGCACCTCCACGGGCCATGAGGAGGAAGTGATCTCCTCAAACATGTACACCTGAATGCAGACAAGTGTGCAACAGAGAGTGAGAAAGTGGGAGAGACTGATCGTTCGTGACCGCTCAGGCTGCTGCGATTCCTCCGATTGGTGAATCGAACAACATGGCCTCTGGCAACACGCACGCGCTCAGTCAGTCAGTCAAGGCCTCGTGTACTGTCACACGTGGCCATGGTAAGAACGCATGACATGAATTTATCGTCACTCTCTCTCGGCTTTCGCAAGATTCCAAGATTCCAGCCATGCCGCAGGCTCCTCCGACAGTGCATACGATGCGCTTGGCGTGCTCAAAGCGGTCCTGCGAGTAAGAGCGCAGGCACATCTCCCCCCCCGCCTCCCCTGCAAAAAAAAGCTAAACAAAAACACGAGCCTCATCGATCATAGTCGCTGCGGAAGTAGCAGAGCCAGGCGCATCGACGTCAACCCACTGGCCTTTGTGCTCGTCGAAGTGTCACTACAGCTTGGAGCTGGTTCGAGTTGGTACACGTGCTGGAATCCGCTGGAAGTACAGGCATGTCGGGCACAACGCTCGCAGCGGCCCCGGCGCACAAAGGGCAATGCCATCCCGGACGTGATGAGGTATGCCAAATTGCTTCCCATAGTTACCTGCACCATGCAGCGCATGTACAGTACAGTAGAACTGGGCTCGAGCATTCTGATGGTTGTGCGTCGCGCCGTCGGCCCTTCACGACCAACCGGGTAACCCGTGACCTGACTGTACACACATGGCATGCCGGACACAGCACAGCTCAGACTTCAGCGCGTGAGGGTGTGAGGACCTGGCATTTGCCAGCATTGTGGCGATAGCACGCCCGACCAAGTTCTGTAAGGTAAACAGCTCGGGCATCTCATTCCTCAGAAGTGCGGGTAGTCTGAGTGGCTTCATGAGCTTCATGAGCTTCATGAGCTTCATGAGCTTCATGAGCTTCAGCTCCGGGCCCATTGAGGAAGCCTTTGTTTTCAGGAGCTCCAGAGCCACCGGCGGCAGGTGCGCAGGTGTGAATGAAGAGCGTGCAACCTGAGCGCGCAGTGCATGACATGGCTGCTGCCGGCCGCCAGGCTAGCGGCTAGTGCAGAAGCGCAAGAGCGTGATGCTGAACGGGGATAAGGCTGTCGCATAAAGCCAAGCAAGAACAAATTCCGGTAAACCTGCAGTAGCGCGGTGGCAGGTGGCATCCAGCAAGCTGGGCAAGAAAGGGTGTCAAGGGCTCTGGAATCTGGGACACATGCCCCACGATCGCAAACCAAACCCCCAAATTGTCGACCATCGCCTGCCAAGCGTCTCAGCAACACTTAAAAGCAGGGTCGAGGTGCACCGGATCGCAAGTGTCCGGCACAAATTAAATCTATACGAAATGTTCGAGATTCTAGCGGAGCGTGACGGACCAACTCAACGTTACAGTTCATGATGCCATGGTATCTACGTGTGAGAGTTTTAGAGTGGGCAACTTGTTCGCACTTCTTGTGGGGATGGGAAGCACGAGGATCATTTCGGGTGATGCGGGGATGTGGCCGCTCTACGCGTCGGCATCCTGAGCGCATATGGCGCGTCCTTCCAGGGAAAATGAAGCAGTGAAGGGTCTGCTGTCTCCTGCGAGGGGTTGGGCTTCGAGAAGAAACCACCTTTCGCGCATCATTTTGGAATTACCAAATGGAACTCTTTTTCTTTAAGGGACCAAATTCAAATTGATAGTTCGGACATCTTTGTTCATCTAAGCTCCTTGTGCCGTGAATCCAATCGCTGGAAATTGAGGCACTCTACAGTATAGGAAATCCAACGACTCGGGCGTCAGATTGCTTAGATTTCTCAGCATGCCCGCATCATAACCCTTGCCCAGCCTGCAGCGTGTTGAACTTCCACTCAACCGCAAAAGATATGATCCAAATGGTGAAGAAATTTATGACCGCCATGGTGACGGCTGTGATCAATGTGATTGTCCACCTGTGCTTTCATTAGCGCATCCCCGAGCTCAGAACACCTCCAAACTCTGGGTAAGGAGAGCGCATTACTCCAAAAGGGAGCTTGTGAGTTTGTGGACCGCTTGTCCTCAGAAACCCAATCGCTTTTTGCCGTATCATCAGCATTCCAAGTCGTCTAAGTTCCACACTTGATGCGTCGCAAACCCCTCATAGGACTGCCTGTCACACAACATCAAAATGCATTGGGTTGCTGCGGCTCATGTTTGCAACTCTCACGTCACAACATGATGTGGTTCTCCTGCCCCGGTTTTTCGCGGAGTGCAGCTTTTGGCCAAGCCAACAGCAACCAGCATGTCCTTCAACATGTCCAACAGTTTATGCCGTTGTGCAATGACAATTTTGGAAACATTAGGTGCGGCCGGTCCTGGAAATAGCCTTCATCATGAATGCCGCGTGCTGATTGCAACGACATGTGCACGCGCCACGCGACCTGGCCAATCCAACTTTCAGAATTTCTTGGTTTGCGGCGCAAAACCGGAATTGCCGTCCTCACGAAGGTGGCACTGGCAACATGGGCAAGCACAAAGATTTCGGATTCGTAGTGGGTGCGTTGCGCAATTATCCACAATTCTAACTAAATGGGCAACATGCATGTCGACTGGTAAATTAAGCTTGAGTCTTTTTTGGGGGGGCGGGGGGTGGTTGCGCGTGAATGGCCCGCGATGTCTGCCACTCTTGCGTTTCATGAGCCAAAGGCTGGAGCACAAACCCGCTTTCAGATGGACACCTCACACGTGGACGCACACAACCCAACGCCTGGACGGGGCTGACCAGAGTGGTGTCAACCACGAAAAACCGCAAGTTCAATGTTAAAGCCCCCTGAAATCAGAAGATGACGGCGTGGTCCTAGAGGGTAGCGAATTGCAGAAGAATGAGACCTCGCCCAATCTTGGCAGTGTGGTTTACGCTTCGAGAGACAGACAGGGAGAGAGAGAGAGAGAGAGAGAGAGAGAGCGCCAGTTGAGGGATGGTGAGGGTGCGAAGGGGCTGTTGGAGTGCCATGGCATGTTGTGGGCTTCTGGGGCGTTGAGAGTTTAGACAAAGTGTCGGACTCTTCCGGGTAAGGCCCGGGATCTATCTTAGAGTTGTTCCGGAGTTGACCGCTGCCATGCTTGCTCCAACAAGTCTTTATTATCACGGAGGATTCCATAATCGAACCCTGCATGAAACCCGGCTGGCGACAACAGTGGACTCAGTGAGCACAGTGCTTCAGCTTCTTGAATGGGTGAACACGGGGACAAACCGTTTGCCGCACAAGCTTTCGAATCTCCATCAGTCCGAACGTTAAGGTGCCGTCGGGAGATGGGAGTTTCACGCTTTTATGACCTTGCCCGCTCAGCCATTAAGGCCTATGGTACATATGAAAGGGAGGTTTAGGGTTTAGGATGTAGGATCAGGGTTGGGGAGTGGCCTTTTTCCGGACCTGGCCAGCCCAGCCACCAGCACATTTCACAATCTCATTTTGGTCAAGAACGAGACGAATTTTCCGTCCTTTTGAGGCAAAAGTGATTGTGGGGAGCCCCCTCGAATTTGGCTTTGAAAAAGTGCCCTGAAAAAGCAAAGAAAAATCGGCCAAAAAGGGCCGGAGATTGCCAAAAAGCGTTTTCCGAACCGTGGGGGTCGCATGCCCGGGGTCGCAATCTCCGTTTCCGAGGCAAAAAGTGGTTGCCAGGAAATCCTACATCCTACCCTGCATGTTGTATTTGAATGAGTTTTGAAGGCCTCTGCAAGTCCTCTAAAAGGGACGAGAAAAGGAGTCTCGGCCCAACAAGGCCGAGGCTAGCCCCAGGCATTTTCGGTCGCATGCCCCCGGCTTCATGTTTCTGCGGGATGGGATTGCGCTGCATGGAGAGATATGCTTGAGATGGCACGTGTGATAAGCGCAAGGAAGAATGAAAACGGCTTCACTTCGACGCCTTTTTTGGCGCCCTGCGGGGAGTCGCATTGACAATCGTTGACATCAGACCTTCTGCGACAGCAGCATTCCCAGTAATCCTGAGAACGCCAGCTTGCATCCATCTAGTGGGGGGTGAGTTGACCTGCCTTTGTTGGAGACGCTGGCGCGCTGAAAGTAGGACGGAGAAAGGCTCCCTTGAGCCTCGGGCAAACCCAAACTGCGACCTCATTGGGTTGTTTCGCTTCCGGGGTTGACGTGGTCTAGCGAGCGCGCGAGCATGGCGCCCGTGACCCGGATTTTGAATACTAATTAGGTCAGGATAAGTGTGAATTCTTGGGCGTGGGCTTTTCGAAGTGGAGCACCCAAGGGCCAAACTAAGGGCCTGGGGCCAACATGGATTTTGGGCTCCCAGCGCTCTTCATGTTCCACACGCTCCTGTATGGCGCTAGCTTCGTCTTCCTTGGCCCGGTCACTTTGCACTTGTTGCAGGCTCTGCGCGCCTTCACGCGCGGCTCGATCTGGCCCCAGACATACCAGCACTGTGACATTTCTAGTGCCGGGTGCCTCCCTCAAGCATGGACGTGGCTGTCGGTTGGAGCTAAAGCTCTGGGTTGTAGTCGAACAGTGAGGGCAGACACCTGATTGTCGTACAATGTCAACAAAAGACTGGGCATGCATGAGACTTAGACTGAACGCCGGCAAATGTTGTGGTCACATGTAGGCCTGGAACTATGCAACACGTCGGGAAGTGTGCTGCGGAGAAGCACTCAGAAATCGAGCCGCTTGGCACGAAGTTTGCAACATCTTGCAGTTGCTCAAAGTCACATCATGACGGAAAGGCCAAGGCCCCCCTTACTTCACGGTGGGCCACCTCACGACACATGTAGGGTAAATCATGGAGAACTCTCCCTGCAGGGTCCTTGCAGGGTCCCTGCGACATCCCTGCGATGTCCCTTGCGGTTCCCTGCAAATTCGGGTCCCTGCGAGGTATCTGCGGGGTTTGCTCTTTCTCTTCTGGGTTGTGGGGTTCCTGTGGGGCCCTGTGGTCCCTGTCCCTGTGTCGGCTTGTCTCTGTGCGTCTTTGTCGGTGGGGATGAATCTGTGTCTGTGTGCGCTTGCTCCTGAAAAGAAGGAACATGCTTCACGAAAAGTCCAGAAAACAACGGGCGCAGATCGACTTCGGCAACCTGCGTGTTGAGACCTAGCGCCAGCTGCGCCAGGCCCCCGCAAATGAAGCATGAACTCATCTGGCGATCGAAGATCCGCTGAGGGTCCAAACCCTGCTGCTTCGCAAGGCCGGCATGTATGGGCACCAACCACGGAGCTTATGAAATGCTCGAAAAGTGGGGAAGAAGGCTTGGCACCAAACAAGCTCCTCGGACCTGCTCACCATCGCGGATAAGTGCCGGACTTATCAGATGCACCGCCCATTCCGGATAAGAAGGGTCACAGGTCGTGGTACGGACAGCACCTGTCATGACGAACACGAACGCATCGGACGGCTGCTCGCTCCATGGCTGGTTTGCATTTGTTTCTTGACTTCGCTGAATTGCGGGGTTGCCGGGGAAGCACATTGGCCTCAGATGAACACAACTCCTCGTCACTACTTGTGAGCAAGCAGGAGCAGCAAACCCCCGTTTGGATTTGGGGAGGCGAGCGGAAGGCCCAGCCGAAACGAAACGAAGGTGTATACTACAGCGCTCGGTGTATGCGAGCGTGGAACAGGGCGTCAAAAGTCAGGGAGATGGGTGTTTGGGTGGGAGGCTTGACTGACCCAAGCGCAGGCCGGAATGCAGCAGAACTGGCGGGACCCTCAACGAAGGCAGGAGGCCAGACGAGCGAGGGCTGGGGTTTTGACTTCGCAGCAGAACATGCATGTGTTGCTTTGCACAATGATGCTGTTTTTCTCTTTCCTGCTCGCTTGGATCCAGGCAAACCGGGCACACAGCTTCGTCACCCACCGGCGCCAAAGAGGTTACATCGCCCGGGGCTGGCGGCGTAGAAGACACGGTGAGCGGAGAGTGAGGCGTCGGCGACCGCGAGGCGGGGCGACGTGGCGAATCCGCCCGGGAACGCTGCGACATTGTATACGCCCCTACACAGCTCGTCGTAGCGCGTGCGTCGTTGCTGGAAGCAGAGAACGAACAGCGGCTGGGGCCCCGGGCTGCCCACTTGCTGGCGCCCTGGTGGCCAAGATGACGTCTGTGAGAACCCGGCGGTATCAGCCCGCCCTGCAGTGTTGGGTGCCCACCCCCCCCTGTTGATGGCAGCAGTAAACCCCGCAAAGAAGGTACAGTGTTCCCACGACGCCACACCAAGCCACGCGCCTGGGCCAAGACCTGGGTGGCAAGTGTGGGGCTCTGCTTGATTGCACACTTCCTGCAACTGCCGAGCACGGCACGAATATCACAGAGTGCTCCGCACCTGCAAATGTTCAAATGCCTGGTTGAACGAAGGGCTCCGTAGAAATAAGACCCGATGCAGATCCCATGTCCTCGCGAACTTGCGTCGTTTGAAGTCGGCGAGGGAGACACCACGCCCCCCCGATGGGGAGGCCGTCCACCAAGCACAGCAGGTGACTGATGAACTTCTGTGGCTGTCTCAGAGGACCCGGCCCGATCTTGCTTACACTGCGTCGTTGTTGGCAAGCTTGTCATGCAAAGCCCCCGAAAGAGCCCTGAAGGTGGCCGAGAGAACGCTCGCATACCTTCAGGATCCTTCAGGGAACCAAATCCGCGGCACGTGTTTTCGTTGCCGATGAAACGAGTTTGGAAGGGTATAGCGATGCGAGCTTTGCGCCCGATGGTGTTCGATCGCATGGTGGCTGGTGCGTTTGCCTGTTTGGTTGCCCTGTTGCGTGGCGTTCTGCGAGACAAGCCTTTCCGACGTTGCCAACTGCAGAGAGTGAGCTGATGGCATCGATTGAGTGTGCAATTGCCCCTAAGTCGATTCAAGCCTTGCTTCACACGGTTGGCTTCGACATTGGTGAACAAAGGGTTCTGCATGTTGACTCACAAGCGTCCCTTGCGATTTCAGATGGCCATGGGTCATGGCGGACTCGCCATCTGCGCGTGAGAGCGGAATTCCTCCGCGAGCAAACTCTGTCAGGCGAACTTCGGCTGGTGTTTTGTGCAGGGGTCGAGCAGCTGCAGGGGTCGAGCAGCTCGCTGACTTACTCACGAAGGCGCTCCCTTCAGCTCGGATAGAAAAGCTCGTCCAGCTTTGGGGGATGCAAAACTTCACTGTTGGTGAGACGACCCATGCCGACCAACAGGTAAGGCTGGGCACGTCAGTTGCAGTTGACAGAGTCGCGCTGTTTGCGTTGCTAGCCCTGTTGCATGTCCAGCCTGCTGAGAGCGTGCGAGATGGGACCTATGAATTGCAGCTTGACGGGCCTCTTGAGTTGTACGTTGTGGTTGGCATGGCAGTGTTTAGCTTGCTTGTGTTGTGGGAGTGGTGAAGAGAACGTGGGAGTGCGTTGACGCCGTGGGCTGGAGCCCACGCGTCGTCCCGCA